TCAACTAATAAAACACACTTGAAAGCAATTTAATTGCAACTCCAAACCAACTCTTGCCTTTAAGGCCGTATGGATAAGAAAGAAATAGAACAAATGGGTAGCCTATGTAGCCAGTGCCTCTCACTTGATGGAAAATTAATTAAAAGAGATGAGAAACGCCCCTGGTAACTCAAATTATTTAATTCACAATTCTTTAAATATTTATTACTTTAATCCACTAATCTCAGGTCATGGTGAATAACGTCTGAAGAGATAATTAACCTGATAAGAGTTAAGAATTAAATTATCTAATTAATTAAAATCTTAGGTATCTTTGAATCATCAATTTGAGCTAAAAGTTAAGAGATCATGTAAACTCAAATTACGGAAGATTATTGTATAGAATACAGCTTACAATAATAGAAAAAACCACATAAATTAATAAATAGTGACTATTTTTGTGTAATACTTAGCTTACCTTAATAATAATTATGATTAAATTGGTTAATTGTGAGATTGAAGATACTGTCCTGAAAGTTTTTGGTTATTTCAATCTATGTAGAGTTTTCAAACGGGAAAGACTATGAAATTATTGTTGTAATTAAATGCATTCCTCAGTTTATTATTAGAGATTGGCTGAAGTTCATTGAGCATAAATTAACAATTAACAAGTTTGAATTTGCCTAAATCTTCAATGTAAGTGTTGATAGTTTCTATAACATTAAAATATCACGACTTCAACTTCTTTTCTAGGAACTCTCTTTGACGATATACGGCATTTACACTTCAGAGACCTTCTGCCCTTTAATGGCATTAGATGTGGTTCTCAAATGAGAGAGGATATATCAATTAAAAATATTATTATAAATAACCATAAAGTCAAATGTCCATATTAAAGTGATTGAAATATTCACCTTATAGAGGAAATGCAATAAGCATTCAAAAAATATATGATCTTTTTTATATACCCTAGAAATTTATTTTACGGAAAGTGGATTGATGAGAGTTATGATTTGCAAAGATTTTAATCATCAAAAGGTTGAGTTTTGATGGGTTCTTTAAAATTATGGAGCTTCGAGGTAAATAGTTTATATAAAAATAACGGAGCGTACGAAAACTTCTTCATTAGGCTATCCTGATTTTACAATAATCAAAAAAATGAGAGTAGTATGATAAAATTTGCAAGATTTATTATTAAAAAGATCAATCTTTCAGTAGTGAAACAATATCCATATATTTTAAAATTAAACTAAAATGAATTTGAATTAGTCTCATTCTGAAAAGGGGCATTTCAAAATTTTCTTATGTTCCACATTCAAAGTTATAAAAATTTAACACGCTAAAATGTTGCTAGGATTAAAATCAAAAGAATTTACATCTACTTTGTCAATATATTAAATAGAAAAAAAATTATGAAATTTCTCTATAGGTTAAGTTGGGAGCTTAATAAAAATCCTAATTTTTAATCTCAATTCACTGAAATACAGAATTATTTATCATAAGAAATATTGCATGAGCTGTTTTCTGATAGCAAAATCAAAATAAATCTAAACTTATGTAAAGACTATCAAAAGTATCTTAATTAAGTCCTTTAGTAGAGTATAAATAAGTTAAATAATTATTTAAAGTTGGTTGAAGAATATCATTTTTTGTATATTTAATTCTTTATAAAAATAAAAAGTGAAATTTTGTATGGCTTGCTTAATTACATAAAATGAGGAAATAAAGCTTGCGTTATTGAATATAGTTTGTGAATACAAACAATTTTCAACTCAAATGATAAACAGGCAACATGAAGAAGTAAAAAAAGCTGAAACAAGTTCAATATTTCTAAATTATTTCTTTTAGTTTTAAGAAATAACAGAATAAAATGGTTAAGAAGAAATATGCCAGAAATTAAAAATTAATACATTGCTAATTAAACTCAAAAAGTAATATTAATATAATAAATAGGGTGTATTAATTTCTGAGAATTCCAATCGCCAAAATGAGCCCCTATAAAAGCAGAATACTTGCACTGATTAAACAACCGGAAACGGCGATGATAATGATCAAATTTATGGTTAGAAATTATCAGGCATTTTTAAGGAACCTTTTTATAAGAAATAGAAAATTTCCTAAAAGCCAACCATTTTAGTTTGATCCCAACGTAAGAAAAAATGAATTTCAATAAAAGTATATAACTCAATTAAATTATATAAGGAGAGGCTTTACATTTAATCGAATAGAATCGATTAGAGGAAGCTTTGGTTGTGATTGACGAGGCAATTAAGAAAGACTCTAGTAATCCAAGAAATTATGAATTAAAATGTAGAAATAATAAATGATTTCCAGCAAATGTATTACTATTTATGAACCGGCTTACAGAGTCACTAGAATTTGCAGAAAAAGCAATAAAAAATGATATCTAAAATGCTAAAAATTATGCAAGAAAAGGTTAATATTATTAATTATATTCAATTAGCTTACATATTACTATAGCTCAAAAGAGGTTTAGATGCTTTAGAGTATTTCAATATAGCTATTTAAAAAGACCCTGATGAATATGAATTCGAAGTTGGAAAAGGTATCCATCAATTTAAATTAGCAAATGCTTTATTACATTTGAATAAATTTGATGAATGTTAAGCTAGTTATGATGTTGCCATATAAAAGAGCAACAATAAACCAGAAATATATTCAGAAAAGGGTAAATATATATTATAAAATTAAAGCTAATGCATTAAGAATACAAAAAAAACACAAAGATGCTTTGATTTCATATGGTAAGGCTATTGAGCTGGATTCTTAATAACCTAGTTTTCATTCAGGAAAAGGTTGAATTATATTTCAAAAATATAGCTCATACCTTACAAGAAATGAATCGGTTTGAAGAAGCCTTATTAGAATGGTAAAAAGCAATTGATTTAGAGCCTTCTAATTCTAATTATTATTCTGGAAGAGGTAAATTAATCTTTTTATTTTAGCATACACTTTAAGATAGTTGAATCGAAATGAAGAAGCCGTAATATCTTACGATTTAGCTATTCAAAGGAATCCTTAAAACTATGAGCATCACTCAGGAAAAGGTTAAATTAATAATTTTGAAATTAAGCCTATTCGCTAAGATAATTGCAAAGAAACATAGAAGCCATAGATTCTTTCGATTCTGCAATAAGCCTCTATGCTGATGATGCATATATCTATGCATAAAAAGGTTGAGCAATCATAAACTGAAAATTAGGCCTCGCCTTAAGAGAGATGATTCGCTATCCAGAAGCTGTCAAATGTTTCGAACAAGCTATTGAAAAAAATCCAGAAGATTATGAGTACTTTATTCATAAAGGTTTTTCTTAAAACTTATGAATTAGCTGACACTTTAAGAGCCATGAATAAGGCCAAGGAGGCTCTGGATTCTTATAATCAAGCTATTCAAAGATTTCCTCAAGATGAAAGAATTTACGGAGCAAAAGGTAAACTAACCTAATACTCTTTATAGCATAGGCATTACGTCTTCAGAAAAATTATGATGAAGCTCTGAAATACTTTGATAAAGCAATTTAAATGAATCCGGAAAATCCAAGTTTTTATGCAGGAAAAGGTTGATACTAATAAATTCCAAAATAGGTGACACTCTAAGAGATCTGAATCGTTATCAGGATTGTTTAAAATATTTTGATCAAGCAATTCACTACCATCCTGAAAATTCATTTTATTATGGAGCCAAAGGTAGAACTTATTTAATAATTAAAGCGGATGCATTACGACACCTCGATCAATTTGATGAAGCGCTAAAATATGCCAACCTTGCTATAAATTGGAATCCAAATCTAGCTGATAATTATGAGCTAAAAGGTAAATCACTATTTGTCAAATACTAGCAAACATTTTAAAATTCTAGCTAAAGATTGATGAGGCTTTGAAAAATTTTGACAAGGCAATTAAAATAAATCCTGAACCTTCTAAATACTATGCAGAAAAAGGTATTACTAAATTAATTTATAATAACTTCAGCTGATACTTTAAGAGCGGTTAATCGAAATGAAGAAGCCTTGAAATCTTGCGAAATTGCTCTTAATAAAGAACCATATAACCACAATTATATTGTAATTAAAAGTATAAATGAATTTATTTACTTAGTGATTACTTTATTATAGATGTGTCGCTGGAAAGAATCATCAGAATTATATAAAATATTAAAATAAACATATCCAAATTAGGAATTTCTGAATCATATAAATTGTAAATATACAAAGATATTTTTAGGGAATATAATAATTTAAATGGAGTAATGTCTTAAAAGATTGGTCAATGATTGAAATATATTTCAAAAGAAATATAAATATATTTATCATTAGAAAATAACTTATACATTCATCTAACTGAATACTAAAGCTTTAAATTGTAGTAAGTATTATACTCAATATTTGGTGTGGTTGCCACATTCAAATTATTCATTATTTAATAAAATACCAAGTTTTATCCCCTCTATCGTGTATTAATAGATGATCTTCTTTTTCTAAAGACACTTTACACACTACAAACAGCTTAAAATATTCATAACCAATTACTCTTCTACAGCTTTGTATAAAAACTATATTATCAAATTTTCACCTTTGTTCCTTTCTTTAAATGTCTTTAGTTAAATTTCGACATTCATTTTTTTAATCTCTCAGGTTTGATATAGTTATTATTCATTATCCATTATTGCTTAGTAAAGTGTTTAAATCTTCCTGCTCTCCATATTAATTTTTTACTATCCAATCAGCCAATCAATCAGATCAAACCCAAACATCTATTTCATAGAGCTATTAGCAAATCATATTAGTCTACAAACTTAACTTTCAATTGGCCAAAACCTAAACATAAATAACCAAGAAAAAAAAAGTTTAGTAGTGTGCCTATTCAATAGAAGTAGCTTAAAAATTTAAATTATTATTAATTAACCAATGGTTTTATACAGTTTCAAGTGAAACTAAAACGATCAATCTAGAGTATAAGTCCATAAATATACTCATCTAAACTCTGTTATTGATTGATTAGAGATGTCAAAGGTGTGCTTCTGATAGATTTGAATTATTCTTTCAAAGTAATTAATAATAAATTAAGATATTAAGATATTAAAATTATTATATTTATATTTTTGTATATGAAATCAAAATATTAGGCACTTTTCTTTTCCATCGCTTTTTTTACTTGAGGCATTTTAAGAGTTGACACCTTTACCTAAAGCTACATTTCTAATTGCCAAGTCAAAAATCTCTTTAACACCTTCCTATGTTTATGTAGAACATTCTAGATACTAACATTGTAATTAATTTATGTTTGACTTAGCCTTATAATTATAGAAATATATGTACTGCTTCATACTAAACATGATTTGGATTTGCTACATTTCTCATGTCTTTATTATTTCCAACAAATATTTTTGGTACTTATTTTAATTCAGGAGTTTCCACTTCTTAGTACCATTTATTGATTGCATTTTTAGAAGCTTTCTTGATCAATAACTGAGAAGATGATTAAAAAGACATCAGCCTTACCATAACTCAATTACCTTAGTCTGTTATATGTTTCTTATCCTGCAGTATCCCATAAACTTAAATTAACTGTCTTGCCTTCAAAAGCTGTTTAAATCGTATAATTTTCAAACACCTAAGGGACAAAATCTTGTGTTAAATGATCCTTTAAATAACTAAAGTTGAATAAACAAATACCTCAACAGAATGTCATGTTTGCCAACACCACCATCACCTAAGGCAACTAACTTTATTGAAATTGAATTTTTTTCAGACATCACACAAAATTTATATTTAATAATTATATATATCCTTTGAATATGTTAAGTAATGCTGAAAGGCTGTTGTAAAATTAATATTTGAGAAGGTGTACTGAGTGAAATCCTAAATTATGGTCTGCTTTTGGTTCTATCGTAATGAATACGATCATGTTATAATTTAAAAAAAAATCGAAGAAAATGCACAAAATTTAATACATATATAAAATAATTAATAACAATATAAAAATATACATCAAATAAATTTCTCTCGCGTATAATGATCTCCTATATTGCTTTTCATACTTTGATGTACACAGAGCTTGACATTAGAATAATGATGTTAATTTCAATCAATCTATGAAATATTAAACTCTAAAATAGTTAATGAATTGATTTTGGCAAGAGCGATGGCCATAATTTATTTATAGCTTTGAGCTCTGCCTTTAATTTGCTACTTTAGTGTTTTCCAAATAGCATTTGAGAATGTAATATCTGTATCATGTTTTAAGAAGTGATTTAGCTGCTGAATTTTTGAAAATGGGAAAAGTTTTAAGAAGTTACATTTAAAAACCTCAACACATCTAATAAATATAAATTTTAATAACAATCGCAAGCTATTTTAATATTATATTTTATTGACTAATAGATTTTATGATTTTGAAATTAAGGGTAATTATGCATTATAAACTTCATTAAAAGGCATGGTTATATTCCTTCTCAAAAATAGTTTATAGAGAAACGAACATTGATTAGCGCAGACTTTTAATATAGAAAATTCAATTTTAAGAATGTTTAGATAAAATAATAATCGTATAAGTGGATCTATTTTATTCATTACTATCGATGTCAAGCCTAATAATATTATTTCTAAACTTATAGACCAAAACTGTAGATTTAAGAGAACTCATATTAATTACAAATTACAATTTATACTTATATATATTAACAAAAGGAAAATTCGATATTACAATTTCTCTAATTTATATTGTAATAAATAAAAATCATAATAAAATATTAATTCTTAATATTCCAATTGAGGCTGAAGCTTTAGAGATTCATTTTTATTAATTATTTATAGAGTCTTTAGCGTAAAAAAAATATTAATCATATATAATCTCACAAGAATTTAATAATTCAAACTAAAATATTTTCAAACTATTTGAATATATACATAATTCATTTTTGGAAACAACTAAATTAGACTATTGATATCCAAATTTAACTACTTGACATTAAATTGATGTATATCAACCTAAAGATGGATTATGTTATTTGATTTTTTATGTATTTATTATTAGAAAAAGCAAAAATAGTTTTCAATCTAATATTAAATCAAGATCATCTTGCATAATAAGACTATCTTTCTTTACTAATATATTCCAATAATATTACATTATATTATTTCTGTATAAAAACAATTAAGAGTACATAAACTGATTTTTTGAATTGTAAAATAGTGGAAAATAAAAAAATTGGTTTATTCTTTTTCTCTACCTATCTTCAAAGAGCTGATGAAAGGATTAATTATATTCCATAAAGATGTTTGACAATTTACTAGATCTGTTTTTATTCTTGCTGGAAAACATAAATGATTTAAATATATTGCCAAAGAGATGCAAAAAAAGAAATAAGTAAAATAATAACTAATGTTTCAAAATATTTGTCCCATTCAAAAAACTCCTTAGGATAGATATTAGGCCACTGAATTAATCGAATCTCTATGAAATTTGAAATAAGCAATTCTGATTTATTAAGAATTGAGAATTTATTTTAAAATAAAGAATAAATTTATTTCCTTGAGGTAAGTGGAAGGCTTTTGTTTATTTAACTGGATTTGAAAATTTAAGTTGAAGTAATTCAAAATAAATTCAAAGCAAACTTGATTGTTACATAAATTAAAAAAATTTATATTGCTAATCAATAATAAATTCGACCAAACACCTCAAATTTGGTTCATATTTGCTGAATTTCTTATTCATTTTCAAAATTAAAATTAACTTTAAACGATACATCAAATGAGTTCTGCTCCTAAAATTCAAAGACTCGTATTCTCTAGTGAATTACCAGAAAATCCTATGGCAAATAAAATGACATTAAAGAAAGACAAAACTTGTGGAGGAAGGATCAGATGGAATTTGGTTTTTAATGTAGTAATGATTGCAATGGCAGGCTTCCCTTTTTATCTTCCCTTAGAGGCTACTTTGGGAGTTAACTGTTTCTATGCTTTATTGTGGATTTTATTTTTAGTTTTGGCTGCCAATACATAATCAAAAATCCACTAAACGATGAAAAAGGTGTCTAACAACTCTTAATAACCTCCAAATCCTACACCTATCAAATTCATATTGATGACATTTATATACAAAGAACCTTTAGACTTGCTAGTAAAAACACTCCAAAATATTCAACAACAAAGAATAGCCAAAGAGATCATCATGGTTGTTTGTATGGAGGAAAAAACTCCAGAGAAGGAAACCAAAATTGATGCAGTATTTGAATAATTCAAAGACTGTTTCGATTAACTCATAGTTACTGTTCATCCTTATGGAACTCCTGGAGAGATTCCAGGAAAATGCTCTAATACTAATTATGCTATTAGATCAGTGTTGGCTCATTTAAAATAAAGCAACCCTAACTTTGACCCAAAAAAGTACTTTGTAACTAATTTTGATGTGGATACATTATTTCACAAAAACTTTCTAGATATTTAAATGATGAACATACTGAAAGAGAAAGATAGAAACAATTTTGTTTGGTAACCAGTTTTATTTTATAATTGGGGACTTGATAAACTTAGTTTTTTCACAAGAATTACAGGATTAGCTAGAAATATGTTAATGATGGGAGCGTTAATTCCTTTAAACATAAATATTATGAGTGTCTACACAGCTTCCTTATAATTACACATAGAGGGAGACTTTTGTCATCCAGCATATTAAATGGATGACATAATCTGCTATATTAGATGGAAGACTTTAAGCAGAAGAGCTCTTAAGATAAAACCAATTTATTGTCCTACTATTTCAGGACCTACTTCTGGTTCAAATATGTGGTAAGAATTCATTGAATGGATCAGGCAGAATAAGAGATGGAGCATAGGGTCAGCTGAAGCTTTCCATTATTTCATAATTAAAGCTCCAAGAATAAGGTTTTGTTAAGCATTCACATGGGCCTGCAATTATCTTAACTATTATGCCTCCTTCATTTGTGTTTAAAGCTTATTATTGATTACAACCACAATAAGACTCTTTGCGATGGAAACTGATCCTAATTTATAACAATATTTTTGTATCCCTTTGGGTGTCGTTTATATCTGCCTTTTTTGCATGATGGTCATGAATAAAATCGCAGTAAAATATCTCCTAAAGGATATTGTAGTTGAAATTATACCAATATGGAAAGACTTCATTCATTGGATATTAAGTCTCATAGTAATGGTTGGGTATGGACTGATAGTGTTTTATGGGTTCTGGGAAATTTTCTTTTGTGGTAAAGGAGTTTGTACCCATGAACCTTCAAAGAAGAAAGTACTTGATGCCAATTGTTTAGCGTAAAGATGAAACCGTGATAGAGATTCATCAGTAACAGAATAAAATTTGATGTAATTATGTTTATTATATGATAATATATTTTATAAATGGTGTTTTATTATATATTTATTTAAAATCTCTGATTAAGCCCTTATTTTAATTGAAGCATAAGATTTAAACTTTAATTATAAAACACATAAATATTAGATTAATGTTTAATTGGATTTAATAGTCTATTCTGAGCAAAAATTGAAGCATATTTTTCCTATATTACTAGATTTTAAGATAATATTAATAAGATAAAAGCATTAATTTAACAAAGAAATTTTATTTTGTTTCTTATTTCCAACAAAAGAAAATATAAACAAAAATTAATCAAAAGAATCGATTTGTCTAATATTTAAGTATCTCTTCATTTAATCAGAACTCAATAATCTCAATAATCTCAATAATCTCTGTGTTATCTCGCTGGAAAAATAAAAATATCAAAATAATTCAATATTTAGAATTATATAAATGCCTAGCGTCTATTGAAAAACTCATAAATCACGTTGGAAACAAAGAAAAGTACTCTCATGATTTAAACATTTTATATCTCTTTAGAATTTTCAAGTAATTTTGTGTAAATTAATACAGAAGAAATTCGAAACTAAATTATATACCATTGGTTTGAAGTTTCCATTCCTTTAATTATACTTTTAAAATCAATTTATGAATTTGGATACTATTTGATATTCGTATCATGTTATAAAAATATTAGATAATTTAAGAAATGTATATATATTATGACTAGTATTAAAAGTAATCTAGAACAAATTTGTATTACAAGTATGACTATGAATGATTAGTAAACTATCAACGACTTATTCAGTATTTATC